TTTACAGTACCTATTTCATCATTGTCTAATATGTCATTCAAGTCTTCATTATTGTTCATTATACCTTGACAATTAGTTGTACCGCCTGAAATCTCGAAATAGCACGATCTTGCATTGTACGAACTTCTGATACGAATTCTATCAAAAAAATTTGATTATTTATGAAGAAAAAGCTTAATGGAAAACGTATTTATAAATTGTGAAGTAGTTACATTATTACATCCAGTAAATTGTAAGATCACTTTTCTTCAACAGTTGGAAAACTATGCCCAAAAATATAGCCAAAAATTATCAGCTAATTAAGCACTGAAAAACAATAGTATATTAAACGATGATATATTAGACAATGAAGAAAAATACCAAATTATGATGTACTGAACTTTGTTGCAAATATAATCTTATGGAATAGAGTGTAATATCTTAAAATGTGAAAACAGCTAATTATGACATCTTAAGACGACCCTAAATATAAAAATTGCGACTACGAAAAACATCGGTCTTAATCTATCTGAATTCCTCTCTTGAAAATATTAGTAAATTATACATCGACAAAGGAATTTTTAATATTTTTGATGAATTTTACGCGTAAATTTTCAATCCTTTTCACAGCACCGGTATTATATTTTATTAAGCCGCTTTAAATGATATCATAAATCAGACAGATATCCAAATTCTGCCTGTCTTGTTATATTTGCCGAACAACAAAACGAATTTGTATTGGGATTTTACAGAGAGATTTTCCAGTAATAAAATAATATTCGGCATGTTGCTACTGGTTTATTCGTATAGATATAAACAACAAACAACGGTCGCAAGTGTAATATAAATCATGCTGAATAAAGTACCGTCAGCATTTATCAAAGGCTAATATTTATTGAAAGATCACTCTCTGTTGCTGTTGTAGCCACCACAAAATCAAACGTCACGAAACATGTCATACTGTACATGCCGCTATTTTGTATTTTATAAACGGCGGACAAGATAACACACATTATAATTAACTATCTATTATTATATTACACAATAAATAAATTGTGTAATATAAAATTAAGTGTATAATATGTATAATATATTAGTAATATATATAACATATAGTATATATAAGTATATATACACACACGCACGCGCACACACACACACACGTATATGAGCATAATTAGGATTTTTCACTCCTTAAACGCAAGTATTCTAATATTTATTCTAAGGCAATTCTTCCACAAAAATTATTTCCATCGCTACTATTAATTAAAAGAAAAAAGTGGCACTTTAATTAATTCATATAATATTCTAATACAAATAAATATACTTGATTAAAAATCAATATATTATACTTTATTAAAAATAAAGATCTGAAACTGAACTTAATATTGTGTTAACTATGAAAGAAAATTAATTGTTAAATAATTTTATTACAAAGAAAACTGAATTAAAAATTCAATCCTTATTATTTCAGCATCTTATACAACAAATCAAAAATTTCTTAAAATTGTATAAAAATATTTTAGAGACACGCAATCCATCATATTTACTATCATTTAATCGTTAATGATCATCGAACACTAACACTTGTTACAAAACATACTTCATCCTTATATCTGCTTTCAATTCATCAGTTTCGCATAAAACTATCTTAAATTCCAGAATAAACTTTATAAGTGACTTATGCATGCTGCATAGATATCTGAAACTTCGTATTACCGGACGGTTATCCGTGAACATAACATAGACAGGAGTTTACTAAACCAAATCTGCTGTGGTAAGCACAACGAAGGCCAAACTGGGCATAGTGATGCGAATCGCATCGACGCGCGATCTTGCCAGCATCTCAGAATGCACATTGGGCGCATAGACTATCAACTGCTTTGGAATATTCATCCAGATCCTGGCGTCTACGGTGACTGGCGTGTCTACAAAGTTGACTATAAGCGCCATGACAGATGCATCGTGTCGCCATACCACCCCTAAAACATTCTCGGCGATAGAACAATCGAAACAGTACAACGCAATCTCCAGAGAGCCCCGCTTGACGAGCTTCCTTTTCAAACGCGACAAATATTTGAATATATTATACTATAATAGAACACGGCCGCGACTTTTTGTGCCACTAAATTCAGAATCCTGTAATTGTTGTTCATCACAATTCATTGCTGATAAAGAAGCCCGCACTGATGCTATCGTCCTGTTAAAAGCATTCTCGCCGGATCAATTTTAAATAATATTTGCAAGTGCGTGAAAATCGAAATCCATTTGAATATAACGCTTACTAGCGTTTATTAATACAACGCTTACCATATAGAATAACTAATGCTCGTCCTCACTGAATGTCTGCATATTAGCTTTTTCTTACCTTTTTTATAAAAAAAAAAAGCCTTTTTTTATTGTGAAGATAAATTATGGTCACTAATTTAAAGATAAATAATTGCGCGTTATACAAAGAAGTAGAATTTAACACCTTTAACCCTTCGTGGTCATTCGGGATCAAAATGATGCGAGTATTATCTTTCACATTAGATGAAAGATGAACTTCCTGGCGTGGGAAGGACGTGTACCTGCCATCGATTAAAGGTTTGAAGCTTCAACTATCGATAAAGATGCTTAGCTTTTTAATCGGACCGTTAGTATGCGTCTAGCAGCCATTCGCACAAAAAACGTGTTTTAACGCGTGTGTGTGCATGCGTGCGTGCGTGCGTGCGTGCGTGTTGTGTGTGTGTGTGTGTGTGTGTGTGTGTGAGAGAGAGAGAGAGAAACCACGAAGGGTTAATAAAAATATAACAGAAATTTGAATTAAATGATATTTTCAAATTAAATTTAAAATTTTAATAATGATCATGTTGAATATATTCTATTAATTAAACATTTTTTACTTGATATAATGATATTACAAATATAATGATACAATATTATAAATATCTGATACATTTGGAAATAAAATAGTGCATTTATAAATATCAAATCTGTTTAGACACACGATTTTGTCCAGGTTTATCTTCACTCGTGATACGTGTCAGGTCCAACAATACATCCGATAGGGTCCTTGGTTTCCGCGTACGTAAAATTCCTATCGACCATGCCGATCTCGTCGCCGTTGTAAATCACGCTTACGCCGGGTAAAACCGTCGCCAACACGGAAAGCTGATCGGTCCGTTTCTCGCCCAATCTGGAAGCCGCTCGATGATTGTCATGATTGTCTACTACCCAATTCGCGACGTATGGTGAATCGTTAGGTATATTGTTCATCCATCGATTGATGAGACATTTGAAGTCAGCCGCGCTAGACTCATTGTTCAAATAAAGAATGAGAACATAAAATTAAGCGACACGTTCGAGCTTGATTTGTATACAACGCAAAGTTTTATGTCGACCCCGGTCAAAATCATTTTTGCATTAATCGAGTGATTATCCAGTAACTCTCTCCAGGACTTCATTAGTCTCGGGAAGATTTCCCATGTAAATTCAGTTTTGTGATCATCGTCCGTTCAGCATTCCCGGTATATTTTTTCGAGGCTTGTCTAGATAACATGCATTCTCAAACAAGTGGATGATAGCAAAAACCATCCACATTCCGATCCAGCCCAAAACTCAGTTTTTTATTTCACGTTGCAATGCAACGCTGCGGTAGTTGAGATCCGCCTGAGCAACGTTGAACTGATGGAGATAGTATTGTTACTGTGCCGAGTTCCATTTCCAGGCGAAGCATCGGACAACAATCAACCAGTTGTTCGGTGGTTTCCTACTGTCGTTCACTACTCGCGCGCGTCACGCCAGACTCGTCGTAGGACTTGATCCGTTGAACGCTTTTTCTTAACTATTCATGCTCGTGAGAGCTGTAGTTTGACACGAAATTGAGAATTAGTTTCAGCCTGAGGGACTTCACCTTCTCCATGAGTTTATCAAAGTCAGCTAAAGTATCATAATCCTTGTCGACGTTAGTATAATTAGCAACGTCGTAGCTAAAGTCAAACTGCAGGCTCATATAAATCGATGACAGCCATAGCGCATCAGTCCTAATGTCCGTGATATGCTCCAATCTATTCGTGATACCATTCATCAAATCTTCTATACCGTCTCCATCACTATCCTTGAAACTTCTCGAATAGACTTGATATACCAAACTTCTTGAACCAATTTTTGTCCGATCTTTCGATTGAAGTTATTAGAACAATCAACGTTACAATGAAAATACATAGGCGAAGCATAATAAATGACTAATTCGATTGTTAATTCTGATACGATTTTATGCTCTATACGCGATGGCTTTTTCAAAAAGTCATAGCTATGAATAGATTGTTGGAATTATTATTTTTATTTGACAAGCTTGTAGCTGCAAATCATAGAATTACTGATAACGATAACTTACATTTTTTACGATAATATCAAGATAATTTGATGCCAGATAGCTTCTCTCTCTTGTATTATTGTTTTTATAATATCAAGAAGCACCGTAATCATATTAAAGATATTTATTGCGTCTAATAAAAATTTATAATTTATAACATAACTATATTGTTGAAACTTGTAATATAAATATAAAGAATAAGAATATACATTATAAAATTATTAATTGGGCCATTGTGTTTTGGATTTATTTCGCAAAAATGCAATTTGGTAAAAATAAAATGTTTCACATTTTATATGAATAAATTAATTTGTACAAATACATAATATGAAAAAGTTACATGCTTTAATACTGAAAAAAAGAGAACAATGTGCTTTAATACTATGTAGAAAGAATAATTAAAATATTTTGTGCTTTTGACATGTCATAGGTTGATAGTTATTTCTAGTCCATCATGGTAACTAATTAAACAAATGTGCTTTATTAAGAAAAATTGGAAGTCAGAAAATAAAGTTAACATTGAAGTAACGACAAAGGAAAATTAATTGTTAAGACAACGAGGCAACTGAGTTAAAAAGCCAATATAAATATTGTTTTAGCATTGATTTATACTATTATATCTTATATACTGGGGGATAATAAAAAAATTACTCTTATTTTGGTTAAAATAAAATTTATTCGGTTAAACGAAAATGTGCATTTTGTAGATACATAAATGAGCACTAATTGATTTTAAATGCTGTTATAATGTTTTTTTTTTCATTTAATAGTAACATGATATCTAATGGCAACAAATTTATTTTTAATCGTTATTATCACAAAATACATTTCCTTTGAAAAAGTTCATTCTCATATTTACACAAAATACAATCTGCCCACAGAAAAAATACTTATGTTTACTGTATCCGAAAATTTGCTTTACTTAAGAGTTTTATTCGTTAATACGAAATAAGCAAAAATTTAATCGAATAAATCTGCTGTGGTGAGCACAACAGAGACTGAACCAGTCAGACTGAAGGTACCCATATTAACGGACGATCTTAGAAGCAGATTGGAATCGCTGGATGTATACACCATTAACTGCTCCGAAATGTTTAACCAGGTTGAAATATCAACGATGACCGTCTCCGTGTCGCTAAAGTTCACTATGAGGACCACAATGGATGTTCCGTCTCGTCGTACTACACCTAGAACATTTTCGGTGACACAACATTTAAAACAGTACAACGCAGTCTCCAGAGTGCCCTGCTTGATGACGGGCTTCTTCTTCAGTTGTGTTAAGCGCTTAAACACGTTATAATGAGAGTATAGATCGGGTATTTGCGCCTCTAAATTCAAGTAGTCATAATTTCCGTTCACCGGAAGCCACGTTAAATTGTTAGTAGAGAAACCGGCGCTGGTGCTATTATCCCACTGGAAAGGTGTTCTTTCTGGATCTCGCGATTTTAAAAAATATCTGAAAACACGATAACATGTATCATTAATTAATAAAAAGATACATCTTGAATATAATTATAGAAGTTTACATTAAATAATACACTTCTTTCGAAATGCAGCTTCAACTTATTAACAAAATCTAAAAGATACCATGAGTATACATATATAATAATAATAATATAATTTAATCATTTTTTTGTCAAAATAAATAATCAGTTCATAAATATGTATTTATTATAAGTAAAATTCACTTTAAGATAAATGATTTGCATTAAATTAATTATTAGTGGATAAAGTCATATAAATCTTCGTAATGATCTAAACTAAATATCTGTACACCAAATGTAATATGTGTATAATTTTTACGATAGTATTTTTTACATAATTTTATTAATCAACATTTCTATATTCCAAATAATATAAAATATAAAAATAAAAGGATATATTTATAAAATATACAATATTTATTTAATAAATAGATATATTTATAGAGAGATTTTATTTAAATCTATTATATATTTCATCGTAACGATATAATTCTATTTAAATTCATTGTTTTATTGTAACAGTACCTATCGGGTCCAGCACCGCATCCGGCAGGATCCATAGTTTCTTCGAATGTAAAATTCCTATCGAGCATACCGATCTCGTCGCCATTGTAAACCACGCTTACACCGGGCAAAACGGTTGCCAACATGGAAAGTTGATCGGCTCGTTTCTCGCCGAATCTGGTAGCCGCGCGATGATTGTCGTGATTTCCCGTCACCCAATTCGCAACATATTCCGTACCGTTAGGCATGTTGTTTATCCAACGATCGATATTACGTTTGAAATCGGCTGCACTGGATTTGTTATTTAGATCACTAATAAATACGAAGTTGAACGGCACCGTTGAACCAGACTGATAGTACTCTATAGTGAGATCAAAGTCCGCATAGGCCTCGGTCAGGATCATCTTCATGTCACCCGTTGAGTGATTATCCATCAACTCCCTCCAAGTCTTAAGAGTCTCGTAAGTTTCGGGAAGATTTTTTGTGTAAATATGATTCAAGTAGTCGTAATCATCGCTTGGTACGTTTAAGTTACTTAATGGTTCATCCAAGTATCGATCATCCTCATACATATGATTGATAGCGTCAATGCGGAAGCCTTTTACGCCCAGATCCATCCAGAATACTAAAACTTTTTTCATTTCTTCTCGCAGCTCCTCATTATGATAATTGAGATCTGGTTGTCCAACAGCGAACTGATGCAAATAATATTGCTCTCGCGTATCGTGCCATTGCCAGGCAGAGCCTCCAAAAGCACTCAACCAGTTGTTCGGTTCTGTCCTATTGTTATCGTTATCATATTTTGCGTCACGCCAAACATAGTATTCATCGTAAGGTTCAATACGGTGGATACTTTTGTTAAACCATTCATGTTGATCTGAACTGTGATTCGGCACAAAATCAAGGATTACTTTCAGCCCAAGAAGTTGTGCCTCCGCTACGAGGTCTTTAAAATCATCTAAGGAGCCGTACTCTTCATTGATATCGGTAAAATTAGAAATATCGTAGCCGAAATCTTTCTGTGGACTAGAAAAGATCGGTGACATCCATAACGCATCGGCGCCAATGGCCTTAATGTGCTCCAAATTGTTCTTGATACCTATCAAATCGCCAATGCCATCGCCATTACTGTCCTTGAAGCTTCTCGGATAGATCTGATACACCAGACTGTTCTTATACCAATCTTTATCTGCTTCCTGGGCCGAGCTCGAGCTGGCCAGAACGATCAACACCGCGATGAGAATACACGAACGAATCATAGTGACTGATTATTTTGATCGCTTACTCCAGTGCTTTTATACCAAGCGACAAACTTCTGAAAAATTTAAAAACATGTCGTATTATCGATAAGTTGGTTACGTTTGGCCGCATCTAAGAATTATCAACTGATAGCGATATGCATTCTTCGCAATAACATTCATATCAAGCAATATCAAATAGTTCCCTGCAATCGTTTCATCATGCTGTTATTTTTATCTCGAAACACAATCATTGCAATTGCACGTAATTACTGCACGTTCGAAACTACTCCATTATTATTGTCTTTACATATATAGACTTATGAAATAGGTTGATAAAGAGACGTCAAAACATAAGATAAAAATATAAAACGGACCGAGTGATTACGTGATACGTGAACATCACTGCATACATAAGCTACGGTCCGATTCACTTCCTAAACGTTTTGCGTAAGTGATGTCCCGGAGTTTTTAATTTACATGCTCATGGTGACCATGATTTGAAGAAATGATTTGTTTTGTATGGAAAACGTACATTATTAATTTCATAGTAATAAATACTTACGAAGATATATTATCACACTTGATCTGCACTCGGTCGCATACCATACATTTTCGTGGCAATTGCGAATATGTTTCATTTGCGACTATTACACAGACTTCTATATGTTGCACTAGAATGCTAACTCCCACTTTTTTCTTATGTAAAAATGTTGCCTGCGCGAAGTGGATGCGCAGAATAGAGAGAGAGAGAGACCCTCACACAAAGTAGGAGAGAGACGCGAATAGATCCATCCTTTGTGATTAATTCAAAAATACATAGAATGTCATTCTGCGTATGACTGGGTCTTATTTTGCACATGTCGTACGTACTTTTTGACAACAATTAAAGGCACGGAATTAGGATTTAGTATATAGAAGTCTGTAGACTCTGTCAAGAATAACGTTATTGGGAAACAGTGTCAACTATATGAATAGTGTAAACGTTTACTTATAATACATAGATATTTATTCAATAAAAAAAAATAATAGTTAAATCAAACGAATAATTCTTGTATTAAATAAATATATTTAATACAACTTTATATTTAGTAAATACTATACAAACAAATTTATTAAAATTTAGTATATTTTTCATCATATATAGATATATGTATATAATATATATAAAATACTTATATTATAAAAATAAAAATATATTATTATTTATTTATTTTATATATAAATTACTTATTAATCAGTTTTATTCATTTAATCTTCTTTTTACTCATTTACTACTTATTAATCAATGCAGGTAATTGTTTATTATCATTATTTTATTTATTGCATTACATATTTTCGATAATTTATAAGGTTTCGTAATAATAATTTCGTATTCCTAACCACTAATTTTATTCGGATTGATCGCAATTGAAAGATTAATATTCGACATTGTAGGAGAAGTGTTGTTAGATTTTTTATAGCGGTTTTAGTTCCTAAGTAATTTTAATCGAAAATTTGTCGATGTTATGTTGGATAAAGTCATGATGTAAGAAGATGTAACAGTGTATAACAAGTGTGTATGATGACCGCTGAATAATAACCCAGACAATTAAATTTATATACAGGATGTTGCGAGATATATTCAGATCAATCAATGATAAAGATGTAAATAAAATTAAATTTTATTATGCTTATATTATTCAGCGGCCACACACTGTTACACACAGTTACATCTTTTTACATCATGACTTTATCCAACACAACATCAACAAATTTTCGATTAAAATTACTTGAGAAACTAAAACCGCAATCAAAAATCCAACTTCTTTCATACAATGTCGAATATCAATCTTTCAATTGCGACCAATTCGAACAATATACTGAGATCTTGAGATCGAGTAATATATTATTTCATCAAACCATCGACGATTTTGATTTTTTTTAATCACACGTACGAATGCATACACAAATAGCAATTTGTATACAGGATGTCCCAAAATTCGTGACTCAAAATACTATAGCAAGTTGTTAAAAAATTAAATAAAAAAGTTATTTGTAAATTTTTATTTTAAGCTTAAATTTTTGATATAATAAGGGTGTAAATATAGTCAATTATAGACTATGTTTAGATAGCTGTGCCGGAGAAAATATTTAGTTGAAATAGAAAATAATAAATACATATTTTCTGTACAGGGAAATAATTCAAATAGTTTTAACAGAAATATTTATTTTGATAATATATTCACAGAAATTCAATTAGTACAATCCGAGCACGCTAAGTTTTTTTTCCTTTATTATAATTCAATCACTTTAGTTACTTTTAATTCTTATATGTCTTAGAATTAATAGAATTTTTATAAATTAGCTTCTTCGAGGTCTTTTTTTAGTAACGCCATATACTTGACTAGTTGCATTGATTTTATCTCTATTTTTTAACAGTTAATTTCTTGAATAATTATATATAATACATATAAATTATATATATTTATTAAAAAAATTAATCTTTTTGGGTTTAGAAAGAATATAACGTGCGATACTTTTTTATTTACTTGGCGTATATTCTTTTTTTATAGGTTTTTTTTATGATACAAATATTTGCTGAAATAATTGTTACTTGAACGTAGCTGCAATCGATACTATTCCATTAAACATTTCTCGCATCCGCCACGCGTTTCACAGCGTATTGCTGATTACCCTATTTCGCATTACAAATTTCGAGAAAATAATGCCGCACCACGGATTTCACCACGAAGATCCCCAGCGGCGAAGCTCGCTGATACGCGTCTTGCCGTTCAACGCGCGCAACAAGAATCGATTTCACCTCACCGCACTTTAGAAATTCGCGGAATTGCACGACCTGTGCACTATTATAACTCGCTCACTTAGACAGGAAGAGATTTGCGAGTTTTCCCGCGAAAAGCGCATGACCTCATATCACCTCGCGTAACATCGACTTGCAGCTGGCCGATAAGATTTTTCGATCCGTGGTTACTTGAAAAATGGCAAACATTCAGACCCGCACCATCTCGCGTGCGCGAGGCGTTTATGCGTGTTGGCCTCGTAACTGCTATCGCGGCCTACGCCTAATTATACAGGTGGTTGGCTACCCGCCTTTCTTACTTTCTTACGGCATCGTCGCGAGAGTCAATTTAATCTTTGCGTCGAGTTTTGCGATCTTTTGCATCAGGAATAAATTTGCTATTACCGCGAAAAACTCTGACAGCATTCACTGAGAAAACAATTTTTGGTATTTGTAACTATAATTATAATTATAGTCATTTTCGATTGCCAACTATATTTTATATGTATATATATTTGTTGATAGAACTATACATATGGTTATTATTACTAACATTATAGCAAAAATAATCATAATTATAGTAACATGTAATTATAGTTACGAATATCAAACATTTTTCTCTCAATGTTGCAAGATTCAATTTTTTTCTTCATATCGAAGGACATTTTTCATCACTCCATACGTGCATCGAGTATTTGAGTACGGTATGAAAATTGTGCTTCTCTAAAATTCAATGGCGATACTCTTTGAAATAAACTTCCTCTTATAATATGATAAAGTGCCATCGTTCAACATTCTCCAGGAAGTTGCACTACAAAGAACACGATAAAAGTCTCGATACAATAGGAAAGAGAACAATTCACTGCGCAAAAGAAAACAAATCGAGGTTGTGAAGTAATTTATCGTCGAATGCGGAAATGATATTATTATCTATGACAGGCTTACAATGCCTTATTACTTTCCTGTATTTTTATTCGACATTTGATAGCAAATGAATCGAGTACAGGAAACAACATGTGTGAGTGGTGTCAAGCGTTCATCAGTGGAAAGATTTATCTCCTCTGTGCAGAATCTCTAACACGATCGCGCAATCTCAAATAGTCTGATGACTCAAGTTGCATAATAATTCCAGCTATGAATACATACATATCATTTATGTTTTACACGTCTCTGCGAAATCTGATAAATGAAAAAACTCTAGAAACAGCCTTTTACATCTCCATTCCTTTTTGCTTTTACTCTGGCTGATGAATGGATACTTCGAAACATTCAGCCTGAGAAAAGCGGTTTTCGCTCTTTACATTTCTTTGATACATTCTGTCACAGCGTTAGCGTTTGACATAAAATGCACGTATTAGATCTCTGAATGAAAAAAGCGAATATATTTTTTCTACATAACACAAACATAATTTATATTTCCTATGTAACGTAACAAATTTTGTTTATCGATATTATCGAGAAAAAAAATGAAAAAATCGCGACTGCAGAAGATTAATAAGACATTTAATGAGGAGTTAAATATCTCCTTAGTCGTCTAACAATTTTTCTGTGAAACGAATAAACTGACAATTTTTCTTAGTAATGAAACAAATGAAAATATAAGAGCTTCTCTTCATAAATTATCCATAAATCCGAGCAGTAGAGACACAATCTTATACGATTGTGTTTATACAGAGTAAGCCGAAATACGTGGTATAATCGAAATGGGAATGATTCTATGGCTTAAAGTAAATCGAATTTATAGAACAAATTTTTTTCGAATATAGCCTCGTGTTTGAGAAAATTCTGAATGTATTACAAGTTTGAACAATTAAATTCTTGGAATATTATTCTTGCAGTTCAAGAATTACATGAATAGAATATGTTCGAAACAATCCATTCTTTTAATTTTCAGAACAGCCAATTTCGACAAAATAGCCAATATTTCCAACATTTAATTAAGTAAGAAATAAAGATGTTTAAAATAAAATTATTCTTCATTTTACTCACTTGTTTATTTTAAGAATGAACTAAGAATCAATCAGAATTGAATTGAATTAGTTCTAATAGTAAACAAGCCATACAAAATATTTGTAGCGAAAATTATTATGTCAATTAACAGTCAAGTATACGCATACTCAATTATATAACTTCTAAAATCTCTTTTTTCGAAATGGATTTAAAAGTAATCGATCCTCTTAATGAGACTTTAAAAAACTTTATTCTACATATTATTTCGACTTACTTTGAACCGTATAAT